CTATAGATCAGCCCAACACTGATGGTGAGCACACACACTCCCCATATGTAGCCCATACTCTCATGGCGATTGTGGTTGTGGCATACAATCAAAGGTTATTATTTTAAGCCGACGGAGATATCACAAAGTCGGTTGTGTTGTTAGTCGGTTGGACTAAGATGTAAGCGTAGATCTGACAATAGTCGATGGGTAACGAACATGTTGTTACCGAGGGCAGAGGCAGGGAACTAGAACGAGCCATGGCTTCCTCCATGATCCCACATTTTGCACATATGTGCTTGTTTTATGCACCTAATCTCTCATATCTTGAAAAAAACATTTATTAGTATTTTTTAACAGATTTATTACTACAATATGGCCCATGTTATGAAAAGTTTGACTCATTTCCCTTCCTCCTTCAATCTTCGATTCTTGACTCCACCACTGGTTGCAAGCTTGCATCATTTCTAAACTTGATCACAATAGCAACATGCCAACATCTCTTTTCAAAATAAGAAGTTAGGCATTAGTTATTTAGTGTCTTGAGTTTGAACAAAGACGAAAGCTGGTTGTGTGTACCATGGAGCCATATATCCGAAATTAGACATCATGTCATTCACGCCTTACCATGTACGTATTGTCACGAGATGAGCCCACTCTTGCTAATTCACAAAATTATATGTGAAATTTACTCTTAATTTTATGAATAAGTCCAAACACTCACAGAAAAAAAGTCCAGGCATACTGCCGCTCCTCGTGCTTTATTATCCAGGGCATATGAGGGCATCTCCAGCCGCGCCCCCAACAGCCCCCCCCCAGGCCACTTTTTCGGCGCCGGCGCCAAAAAAACGGCCCAGTCGCGCCCCCAGGACGCCGAAAATGCCGGTTCGGACCTTTTTTCCGCCCGGCGGTCACAGGCCGAACCCGGCGCGCTGGGGAGCCGTTGGGGGCTCCGGCGCTAGGGAAAAACACGTCTGGCCCACACCAACAGGGGAAAAGTCAAGGTTCTCTTCCCCCGACTCGCCTCGCACCCCCCGCGCCCTCGGCCACCACTAGCTATATCCCGGCGATGGCCGCCGGCCTACTCCGCTAGATAGCCATTCCCCGCCGGAAAATAGCAGCGCTTCGCCGCGACAGCCCCTCCCGCAGCAGCTGGGCGTTTCCGGCCGCCGTTTCCGGCCGTGGAGGCGCGGTTTAACGGTGGGTACACGCCCACCGAGCGCAAGGTCTTCGACGTTTTGACTGTCTCGGCGATGGACTCGGATGAGGAGGAAGAGCTCGCCACGCTGCTGGAGGAGGAAGCCGCGGCCGACGTCCAGGAAGAAGAGCATCTGATGGTGCTCGCCTCGCCCAACTGCTGGCAAGCAATGAAAAGCCGCGTCGAGGTGGCTCGGCGCCGAGGCGGGTGAAAGCAAAGAACCGGCATCGTCTGCAAGGCTACTGCATGCTCTACTCCGACTACTTCGTCGATGCTCCACTTCATGGCGAGAGAACATTTCGGCGCCGTTATCGGATGAGCCGAAAGCTCTTCCTCAGGATTGTGAATTCCATGCGGGAGTTCGACAACTACTTCAAGTGCAAGATGGATTGCACTGGCGCTCTTGGATTCACCTTCATCCAGAAGTGCACGACAGCGATGAGGATGCTTGCATATGGAGCTCCCAGTGATTCACTCGACGACTATGGGCGCATGGCCGAGTCTACCAGCATAGGGTGTTTCTACAAGTTCTGTCGGGCAGTGGTGGCAGTGTTTGGGCCACAATACTTGAGAACACCCAATGCGGAAGACACTGCTCGGATCCTAGCCCAGAATGCAGCAAGAGGATTTCCTGGGATGCTTGGAAGCATCGACTGCATGCATTGGAAATGGAAGAACTGCCCATTTGGTTGGCAAGGGATGTACAAAGGCGCCAAAGGCGGTTGCAGTGTGGTGCTTGAGGCGGTAGCCACACATGACCTCTGGATTTGGCACTCCTTCTTTGGTAATGCCAGGAACTCACAATGACTCAACATGCTGCAGTGCTCTCCTATTTTTGCCAAGCTCGTTGAGGGCCATTCTCCTCCGGTGAACTTCGAGATCAATGGGCACCAATACAACAAGGGGTACTATCTAGCTGACGGCATCTATCCGAGATGGTCGACATTTGTGAAGACGATCTCAAACCCTGTGGCAGGAGGCAAGAACGTCTGGTTTGCGAAGCTTCAGGAGGCTTGCAGGAAGGATGTCGAGCGGGCATTTGGTGTGCTCTAATCTCGATTCGCTGTTGTTCGGTATCCCGCTCAGACCTGGTCGAAAGATCAAATGTGGGAGATCATGACTTGTTGTGTCATCTTGCACAACATGATCATCGAGAGCGAGCAAGAAGACCCAGTGTTTGACACTGAACCATACTACAGGCAGGGTCCTCTAGCCGAAGTTGATCACCAGCTACCGGCAACTTGGACTGCCTATCTCAGTATGCGTCAGGATATCCGAGACCCGCAGGTGCATCATCAACTGCAGAAAGATCTGATTGAGCACCTATGGAGGCTCAAGGGGGACGCCGCGTGATGAAATACGAGTTTTTATTTGTTGAACTATATAATTTGTATTGAACTATTTGTTGTAGTAGTATTTTCTTGAAGTATTTGATTTTTCTGTGATGAAATATGTGATAAGGAATAATTGTGTTGATAATTGAACGCCGAGACATGGCGAAACCACGCCGAATATGGGTCTATTCTCGCCCATATGGGCCGTTTATTCGCCAAAATTGGGCTGCAAAGTGGGCCAATTTCGACGCCTAGGGGCGAGCTGGGGGCGACGACTGAGCGCAAAACCGCCCCCAGCGCCGAGTGTATCGCCGGCTCGTCCCCAGGGGACGATTTGTATGCGTCCTGGGAGGGCCAACGGCTGGAGATGCCCTGAGTTGCCTGACCTGACATCACCAGTGGCTTGGCGAAGTTGACCCCGCAGCTTTTTATTAGCTCCTCTGACCCCACATACTCCAAAGTCTGGCAGCACGGGCTTGGAGTCCTAGCACCGCCGCTGGACATCACTGCCTCTGTCCAGGCTCGGGCCTCACTTTTCCATATGAATCCTAGTCTGAAAAACGAAATGAGTGTTTTAGACAAAAAAAAATCTGTATTGTTTTATCTTCAAAATAAATATATTTAATACTAAATACTTTATTGTTTTGATCAAGTTTCTATAATAAACTATCAATATTTAAGATACTACTCCCTCCGTTCCTAAATATTTGAAATCATGTCTGTAGTTCACATTGAAATCTCTTAAAAGGCACATATTTAGGAATGGAGGGAGGATGAGTAAAAAATGTAAATGTATACTTGATGCTAAATCCTTTGTGTTGTGAATATTGATATTCTTTTCTTTAAATGTGGTAAAAAAATGTAAACGTATACTTCATGCTGAATCTTTTGTGTTGTGAATGTTGGTATTCCTTTTCTTTAAACGTGGTCAAAGGTAGGATCATTTGATTTTTAGAAAAATGAAATATGCACTACATTTCGGTGCTTGGAGTTTTGAGATCAACATTTCGCAAAGTGCGGCCCGAAACCCACCCGGGCTGGTCCGCGCTATGGCCAGCTGGTTTGCTCGTGCCGTCACCCGCCACCCACGGCAAGAGAGAGAGACAGCCAAGGGAGACCGCGCGCCCGGTGCGAGGAGCTGCTAGTGCTAGGCGAGGTGACACACAGCGAACGGATCAAAGTTGACGGTTTGCCTTGTCGAGTACTACTACTACTCCACTCCAGTACGCAGGCAGGTCTCGCCTTGCCGGCACGAGTGTGTTGATTCTCCTCTCCACAGGCGCAGATCAAAGTTGAACTGACGCAGCACTAGCCCGTTCAATGAGTTACGGCACTGACCAACTCCTCCGTCCGTCATCATCCATGCAGACGTGCATGCATGCCATCCTTGAACCAGTCGCCATCGTCACGCCTATATATGGACGCACGCACGTACACAGCTCACCGCAACCCACCGCAACGAGCAAGCAAGCAAGCCATCGATCCCACTGCCAAGCACCACTCTCACACGCACAAGCACGCACGATCGAACCTCCTGCCACCATGGTGACATTCACGGCGCGCCGGGGCGAGCCGGAGCTGGTGCGCCCGGCGAGGCCGACGCCGACCGAGACCAAGGCGCTCTCCGACCTCGACGACCAGTGGACGCTGCGGTTCTACGAGTCCATCGTCGGCTTCTTCCGCGCCCCGCCGGGCGAGGCGCCCAGGCCGGGCAAGGTGGCCCGGGGCATCAAGGCGGCCGTGGCGGCCGCCCTGGTGTACTACTACCCGATGGCCGGCCGCCTGCGGAAGCTCCCCGGCGGGAACAGGCTGGCGGTGGACTGCACAGGGGAAGGGGTGGCCTTCGTGGAGGCCTCCGCCGACGTGCGGCTCGAGGACCTCGGCCAGCCGCTGGTGCCGCCGTACCCGTGCGTCGAGGAGTTCCTGGGAGACTGCGGCGACACGAGGGATGTCATTGGCAAGCCTTTGCTCTTCCTGCAGGTAATATCATCTTTCCTAATTAGTCGTAGTATTTCATTATGTGGATTATGGGTGGTGGTATGTTTATTTTCTACTCCCTTCGTGTTTATTTACTCCGCATATTAGTGTTGACTGAAGTCAAACTTACTAAAATTTAACCAAGTTTATAGAAAAGAATAGAAATATTTACCATAATAAATCTATATGAAGTGGAAGTACATTCAATAATAAATCTAATGGTATGATTTGTTATTGTATATGTTAATATTTTTGTCTATAAACTTTGTCAAAATTTATAAAGCTTAACTTTGACCAAACCTAATATGCGGAGTAAATAAAAACGAATGGAATACATACATAGTGTTTTTTTTTGCGGGTTACACAGTGTATTTATTACTATGAATGATGGTTTGAGCACCTTATCAATATCGAAATTCTTCTACCTTTTGCGGGGTTGATATCAATATTGGAGCAAAATAAAAAAGAAATGGAGAAAAGAGGGTTGCATCACATAATGAAATTGTCAGCGTTCAATTTTCATGGTGAAAGAATAGTTGTTATATTACTAAAGTTTTGTCCATCAAATGTTACCAAATTCCATCTGTCGGTTTTATGTTTTCTCAGTAAATTGAATTAGAACCAAAATTATTTAATGTACTCCAAATATTCATTCTAGTTGAATTATTACTTATTACTAGCCTAAATTAAGTTTTTGTTGACGCTTGAATATGATGTCATCAGATACAACTGAGTGTATTAATATGAATATAAAAAAAAGTGTATGCATACCCACGCATACTAGTCATATCAGTTATTTTCATTGCTCGTTTGAATTCCATAAATTTTGCTAAGTAGCATGTCATCATTTATAACCTAACCATAATAATGTGTTATGCAGGTGACACAACTAAAATGTGGAGGATTTGTTATTGGGCTTCACATGTGTCATTGCATTGCTGATGGTTTTGGTATTCTTCAATTTATCAAAACTATAGCCGATTTTGGATGTGGTGAACTTATCCCAACCACTTTGCCCGTGTGGAAAAGAGATATCTTCACAGCACGCATGCCACCATCCATTGCACATGTTTACCCGGCATATAAACCATTTCTCCATGGGTTAGAGTGCACAGAAGACGACGTAATGCTATCAACTCCGCCGGAATGCATGGAAGTGCAATATTTATTCTTTGGGCCAAATGAGATAGAAATTTTGAGAAGCCACGTCCCAGAACACCTCTCCAAATCTACTACAACATTTGAGTTGATTACGTCTGTCATGTGGCGGTGCCGCACATTGGCACTGGGCTATGAATCTACTCAAAAAGTCCGGGTCATGTTTACATTAAACACACGTGGGAGAAGCATTAATGGTGAAAGCGCCGTCCCACGTGGTTACTATGGAAATGCACATTTCTCTCCTATGGTTGAGGTCACTGTCGAGGAGTTGGCTGCAAAGCCGCTTGGACATATACTTGAGCTCATGCGTCAAGTCAAGTTGGACACCACAAAGGATCGCATGAAGTCAATGGTGGATTTGATGGCATTATGGCGAGAGAGGTCACCATTTGGTATGGATAGAACATATGAGGTTAGCGACACAAAATGGGTTGGAGGCAATGCACTGCAATTTGGGAAAGCCGAGCTGGTTGCTGCTGGCACACCACATGCTGGAGATTTCACTTCAAAGCTGATAAGCTATCATACCAAGTGTAAGAATAAAGATGGTGAAGACTCAACCGTGGTATCAATCCTACTTCCAAAACCAGCAATGGAGAAGTTCACAATGGAGATGGCATTTTGGCTGAAGAAGTAAAATGAAAATAGCATAACAAGTCCATTTGTTGCATGTATATGCTATTTACTTCATTTAGTATTAAGGTCCAAACACCAACCATAGTTGGTTATGTGCTACCATGGAAGTCGTGGTGTATTATTTGAATGCTTGTATCTTTACTTATATTTTTCCCATTTAGTAAGCAAATATAAATAATAATTTCTCCCTTTGAAATACATATTGAGGATTCACATGCCATTTTTTGTTAGTCGATTAACTCTATTCATGTGATGAGAAGTTGATGAACCATATCTAATACATCAAAGAGTTGCGAGTCTGAACTTGCTTGTGGTATGTGTTTCCACAAAACCTGAGTCAAGGTGACGTTCACTCCCTTGTTTTTTTTTTTGGTTGTTAGTCCAACAAACCACCGATCAAACATCAATATGGACTTACAATTAAATGTCTATCATCTTTTCTGGTGGTCATTCTAAGTATGCCTGCCTCAGTAAACATTGCCAAATGAATGTTGAGTATGCTTCTATACTGATCAAACATGAATTATATAGTACGCCGAGCGAACTATGAATTGTCCGTCTTTGGTGAAGTTCCACGCCAAATAATCATCCGTGTTTGGGCCCCCAATGGTGATATGCTGCGTGTTCCTCAGAAAAGAGCAAGAATGGGCGGGCATGGATCTTCATCTTCAGTGAAACAACATAAGAGTTGGATGGCCATGTGGGACACTTCGGCCTCGGGAAAGGCAAAGATTCATATGTGGCGTTTGCTCCGCAATGGCTTAGCTGTTGGACACGAACTACAGCACAGAAGAATCAAGGCGGGAGTTTTTTGCACGGCATGTTGGAGGAATGGCAACAAGTTCATGCAAAACCCATTACGAGAGCTAGGTGGGAACCGCCGGAGGAGGGCTGGTTTAAAGCAAACGCAGATGGAGCCTTCTCCAAAGGGCGTGGAAAGGGAGGAGTAGGTGTGGTCCTCAGAGATCATAACGGGGGTTTTGTGGCTGCCGCAGGACTTTTTGTCGATCATGCGTCGAGCGCTGAGCAGGCGGAGGTGGTGGCATGTCGACGAGGCATCCAACTAGCTCGCGAAGCAAATGCGCAAAATCTTCATGTCGAGCTGGACAATCTGGGTGTGGTTGCGGCGATCAACAAACATGACCAAGATCTATCAAGTTTGGGGCCTTGTATTGAGGAAATCAAGCAGTTGCTAACCCAGTTTCCACATGCGAAGGTTTTTTGGACGAGGAGAGAAGCAAATGGAGTCGCTGATAAATTAGCTAAAATTAGCTTAGGTGATGAGGTCTGTAATGTTTGGTGGTATATACCACCGGAGTCTATCCTACAGGTGATCTAAATAATAAAGCGATGTTGATCCTCAAAAAAAACATGAATTATATAGACTTAAAAGATTAAATTCCTATCAATTTTCCTGTCCGTTTTTCTTAGTAAGTTTGCCATGGTCGACATCACCGAGTGGATTATGATCGTCGTCCTTCTCCATCTCTTTTAAGTACTGCAACGGTAGGCGACCGATAATTTCGGACTAACTGAATATTGGCAAAACTGAAAACACAAACGGTATGTTTCAAAATGCAGGAGTTACAAATTTCTGTGGTGACGACACTCCCCAAAAACGACATAAATAAGGAGACCACCAAATTTAAAACAATCGCAGATGTACAAACCCAGGCAGGTTTGAACAACAAATCATCATGCGAACCAATTTAAACTCGACTCGCTCGAGAACCCCAGATCAGTTTCCAGATTTATTTTCTGCTGCATGTTGATCGATCAGTTCTGCAGCAGGAGGAGCTTGTCGTCGTTGTCCTTGGGCTTGGCGAGCGTCTGCCTGGAGCGCACGCGCGCCTGCAGCCGCGCCATGGCCTGCATGCAGTGCACCGCCACCTCCGCCTGCCGCCGCACGTACGCGCCCCGCGCCACCGCCTGCAGCCTCACCAGGCTCCTCAGCGCCTTGAACGCCCGCCGCGCCTGCAAAACCAAAACGCAGTTTAGATTTAGACATGCAAATCAATCAGGCGTGGAAGTAGCGATCTGGCATGGTGAGCACGCACCAGGTGGGCGCGGAAGTAGGCCTGGATGGTGACGGCGGCAACGTCCTCCCGAGAGAAGCCCTCACGGCACAGCAGCGCGTACTCCTCGTTGGAGCAGACCGACTCGTCCTCGTTCGCCGGCGCCGGCTCCACGGCCTTCGCGAGCGGCGCCGCTCTGTGGACCGCCTTGGCGATGTCGCCGTTGCTGCGCGGGTTGGTGGTGCTGTCGCGAATGGCGCCCGAGACCCCGCCGCGCGTCTGCGCCACCGTCTTGCTGGCGGAGCTGAGCCAGCGGCGCCGCGCGGTGCCCGACTTGGACTTGGCGTTGCCGGCCTGCGCGGGCGCGGTGGTGGTCACGCAGCACACGCGCTGCGTCCGCCCGATCGGCGTCGAAGGGGTTCCCGGCGTCCGCGCGGGAGGAGGAGCCAGCGCCGCTCCAGCCGAAGCAGCAGCCGCCACGGGAGTCCTCGCGGGAGGAGGAGCAACCAGCGCCGCTCCAGCCGACGGAGCAGCTGCCACAGGAGTCCTCGCAGGAGGAGGAGGAGCAACTAGCGGCGCTCCAGCCGACGCAGCAGCTGACACGGGAGTCTTCACCGGAGGAACAGCCAGCGCCGCTCCAGCCGATGCAGCAGCTGCCACGGGAGTCCTCGCGGGAGCAGCAGGCGCCGCCGCTCGCGCTAGAACAGCGGGTTCCGCGGGCGCCGGCGCTGGTGCCGGAGTGAAGCGGCGGACCTGCTGCGCGCGGCGCGGGGTGCGGGAGCGGACGCCGCAGAGGCGCCTCGCGGAGGGCGTCTTGGGGGTGCGCGGCGTGCGGACGGCGTCCCCGGTGCCGCAGCAGCTGGTGAGCGGCGTGCGCACGCTGCTGTTGTCCGCGTCGACGGGGGCGAGGCCGCTGCCCCCGGATGGGCGGTGATGGGCGCCGATGCAGCAAATGCACGCCGCGCTGCTGCGGCGGCGGGCGTCGCCGGAGGGCTTCGACGGCATGAGGCAGCACAGCGCCCGCGTCCTCGGCATTGCAAAGTCGTCGTTGGCGTACCTGCTAGAATGCGGTGCGAGTGCTACGACTTGTGGGAATGGCCGGCGAAGGCGGTATAAATGGGCCGGGAGCCGGCCGGAGAGGAGGGAGACGACCGATGCGATGTGCGTGCCTCTACGGACGTGGGCGTCTGTCGGCGTCGGCGTGGCGGTTTTATTTAGGGTTAGCGCGTGTGATCGGGGACAGCTTTGTGAGGCAACGACGAGAACGTGGCGGGATGGATGGATGAGCCATGGAAATGTGAACTGAGTTTTTTTTTTTAAGAAGAAAAAAGGGACGCGACTCGCTGGCACCCGGGTGCCAGATTGTTGATCGCGGTACACCCCCTTAAAAGGAAAACACTCATGCGAGCTGTCGTACGTGAGTGAATGAAAATCGCACTCGCGTCCGCCTCGCAAACAAAAAAGATTCTGTCCCCACCAAATTAAGGACCAAATCAACGCAGCTGGGCGCCACTGCCCAAACCCCACCCGCGTCCAGCCTACGCTAACCTCAGGTAGCATCATACCTACCCCACGCATCTGGACCCTTCTCGCCCCAAGGGCGCCATTGTTGCTGGGTCCAGAGCTTGATGGCTACAGCTGAAGTTTGACATAGCCACAAAAATCCAACAGCACCTATCAGACAACTCTTGCCCCCTCCCCCCACCCACTACTAGGAAAACCCTTACCAGTAGCGCTGGTTTTTTGCCTATTAGTAGCGCTGGCAGGCGCGCTACTGCTACGACGCTACATTTATTTTTTAGCAGTAGCGTTTGTTTGAACCAGCGCTACTGCTATCTGTATCTAGCAGTAGCGCGCCTCTGTCCATCGCTACTGCTAATACTAGTAGCGTGGCCCTTCAAAAAAACGCTACTGGTAAGCAGCGCTGCTACTACTCCAATACCCCACGCTATTGCTAGTATTTTTTTATGTTGCTGTATTCGTATTTTTACAGGTTTTATATAGTTACAAGATACACATACACTGAAACTATATGAAAAAGGAATGTCTCATCATCATCATCGAAGTGGTACAACATAGTCTCATCATATCAACATAGTCTCAAAACAAATGATGTCGATCTCATCATCATCTCGAAATAGTGATACAAGTTATAATGATGACATGTCTCTTACATTGTCACCGTAGACACATGTTTCATCATCTACCTAAACTAAGACATACACGATAAGAGCGATCACGATGATCAAAAGCGGTAGTATGTAGTAGTTTTTGCAGCGGCACTGGTTTTGAATCCCCTGTTGTGCTATGAATCTCAAGTAACTAGCTTCGGCTTCCGCTCTGCTATCAAACCTTTTCTGGCTTCCGCCGGAGAAGCCAGAGACTTGGGCCTGACACTCTGGCCACTCATCATACACACCCGAAACATGCCCTACATACACGGCATACCACTTCCTCGCCATCGTTGATCTATATACCTGTCAGAGATGCACATATATATACCATGAAGCGAATTCAACAAAACAGTTATGAAATAGAAGCAACATATATAGTAAACATAGTTAACAAATTTTATCGTACCGAAAGTAATTAACTAGAGCGCGGCACCATACATCTAATAGTTTCGTCGTACTGAGAGATTTGAAGTTTCGTCGTACAGAAAGTAACAAGTAACTAAACAGACACATTGTTTTTAAGCAGTGCACTCTTCCAATCTGTCCATATCCGGGAGGACAGACCCAAGCTTAGTGAAAGGCGTCATGTCCTGACGCTGTAGGGCAATGCGGGTTCGGACGTCAGCTCGCGATATTGGGCCGACGTAGAACATCCCATTCTCTTCAAGGACATCTTTGATGATGATGGACGCAATTTCCTGTTGGATCCGGTAGAAATCATTTCGAAGTCGATTATCCGGCACGGCTCCAAAGGCTTCGGCCCATCTCTGGATATGGGTATTGATGATGTTATGTACCTAGGGTAGGGTCAT